CCCCCCCCCCATGTTGGCAGCCACCTTCTTCAAAATACCCCCTTAGGAGGTGCCATTCCTGTGCCCAAAATGTGGCCACTACTTGTTGAAACTTTTCCTCTGGGATCTCCCTCGGGGGCAAACGTTGCCCTGGGAAGTCAGCCCAGCCATTTAGAATGGAGTACAGTGAGGACAGGCGCGTCCAGCGTGAGCCCCCAGGGCACGTCAGGGCTGCGTGAGCATGCGTCTCAGGTGGCTTCTGTCCAGCCTCCAAGGCTACTCGCATCCCAAGGATCTCAGAGGCCAGAAGTGCTGCGACTCTGGACAACGGCCTGAGGTCTACATGATGGTCACTGTCCATTTGTGGAGCTCCAAATGGGTACCTTACATGGGACTTGGGGACGGCCGGGGCTGCACTGATGCAGAAGATTGGGACTCCTCCTTCCCTGTGGGGGCTTTTCAACATCATCAGGGGCAGGCCCTCTGGCTGGCCTTCTGCCGCAGTTCATGTTTCCCTCCTACACTTCATGTCACAAGGGTGGCCAGAGGTCAGTGCTGGGGAGGGGAGGTGGGATTGGGGGCAGGAGAGAAGGAAGGAGAGGAACAGGAGGCCTCATCCCTGCTCTCAGGTTCCGCGCAGAGACACGCAGCTCTCTCGTTTCTAGAGAGACATCGTAGCAAGTGAAAATTAACACGCTGCAGCCTGATCACCTTTGAAGGGAGCAGGTCAACCATTGAGGGTGTGGGCAGTAGTCGGGGAAGACTTCCCGTAGGAGGGAAAGCTCTTGGGTGAAAGACAGAAGAGGCATGGTCCCGGTGAGAGCTCTCTTTAGCCCCGGGCAGCAGGCAATAACCTAACCCCTCTTCTTGCGGCAGATTGGTCATTAAATGTGGGCTCTCACAGTTGACTATTCCTGCCCTCCCGCCTCCCTGTTCTCCCTGTGGCACAGATGCCTGGGCCCGCACCTTCCAGCGGGATAGTCCAGTGATTTCCTGTCCCTGCCCCCAGCCCTTCTAACCCAGGTGGGTCAGCTTGCCATTCCGGAGCCCAAGCCCGGTCCTAACCCCCCACTTCTCTGCCCGCAGCTGCAGAGCACAGGCCGGCTGCTGGAGGAGCAGCTGCCCGAGATGATGACCGAGCTCCTGGCCAGCGCCCGCGACAAGATGCTGTGCCCCTCAGAGTCCATGCTGACCCGGTCGCTGCTTCTGGAGGTCATCGAGCTCCATGCCAACAGCTGGAACCCTCTGACGCCCCCCATCACGCAGTACTACAACAGAACCATCCAGAAACTGACAGCCTGACAGCCAGGGGGCCTGGCGGGCGGCCCGCGGGCAGCTGGGGCCCTGGTACACAGGGCCAGATGGACAGGCGGGAGGACAGGGGTGGCCCTGGCGGGAGAAAGAAATGGGAAGGAAAGCAGACAGAGCCGGCGGCCAGTCTGGAGCCAGACCGGGAAGGAGTGCCCCTCATCTGAGCCCCCCCAGCCCCAAGCATGTGGCAGTTCACACCAATAAGGGAAGCATGTTTCTTTCTCATGGTGGCCCCGATCGCCCCTCCCCACTCCCGCTCCTCCCCGCCCCCTCCCATCAAACGCGTCCCCCGCAGGGCTTTGTGCGAGGGGTTTCATCTCTGTGACTCCGCTGAGGCCCTGGCAGCTCCGCACGCCGGGGTACCGCTTGGGTCAGAAAGGACCTCAGAAGGCTGAAAAAGTGGGTCGGAGACGGGCTTGCATTGTTCCTGCTGTCAGCCGCAGTCGCCAACTGCTGCCAAGCAGGCGACAGAGAGCAGATGTCCGGGAGGACAAAGGCGGGCAGGGTCCCCACCAGCCGCCCGTAATTGACGGCCTTTGTCCGCCACGGTCGAGCTGGGGGGGCTGGGGGACGGAGGCTTCTCCCCTAACCTTCACACTGCCCCCTCCCCACTTCCAGGTCCTCCTTTTGGCCCCCAAGCCTCAGGGGGGGGGCCCAGGGGGCGGGGAGCAGGGAGGGGAGCTGGAGTTGGCGATTCTACTTGTACTCTTGTGTTTTATTGTTTTATTTTCAAAAGTCAGCTGCTTTGAAGTCTCCTCTCTCAATGAAAAGAGCCCGAGATGTGATCACACAGTCAGCGCCACGAGGACCCCCTGATTAGTGGAAGATCAAACCCGGCTCCCTCTGGAAGGATTCTAGCCACAGACAGCTTGCCAGTAGCCAATTAGGGTAATTGGAAACTTCTGCCCCGGCGGGGGTCCTGCTGGAACCCTGTGTCCTCAGCCCTTGGCTTCCAGTACCTCTGTTCTCTCATTCTAGCTGTGCTGTGTCAATGGGCCGATACTGTCGCAGGCCCCCGGGAGTGTGTATCCTGGCCCGGGGGCCTGGTGGTGAATGGGGCACCGAAGGAGGCTGGCAAATTAAAGCCAAAATGCTAGGTGATGTTGCCCGCACCACACACGGGTCTCGTCCCAAGCTTAGTGGGGGGGCATGTGGCCGTTGGGGACTGCCTGGCTCCCCAGGACTCGGCGTCTGGCTAAATGGGCTGTGCTGCTGCCCCGGCCTCATCACAGGCAGGACCCAGCAGCCCAGGCCTCCCCACAGCCAAGGTCTCTGCGCTCTGGGAGGGCTCTGGGCACTGTAGCCCCTGAGCTGTGGGGAACGGTGCGTTCATTGAGTCTTGAGCGTAACGGTCGGGTGACTAGGTGAGGCCGCCAGACAGATCTTTCCAGTCTGGGAACAGGGCTGGGGGTTCTTGAAAGGGCCAGGTCCTGGGAAGAGCCCCCTCTCTGTTGGAGGAGGATGCGGGTCGGGCTCTAGGAGGCTGGCTTCCGGGTTGTCACGGCATCCTCACAGCCCCATCTCTGGGGTCTGGAGCCCATACTTTGATAAACCCCCATAAAATGACTTCAGAGCCCAGCAGCTCCCTTTACTGAGGCTGGTCACTCCCTGTGTCACTGGAGGGCCCTGGCTGCCTGGTCCGCTCAGGCTGGCCAGGGGGTGAGGGCTGGAGGTTTCCCTTTGTGGACTCCAAGTCTGGAGGAGCAGGCAGGTCCCCCAGTACTCCCTGGCTTTCTCCACCTGCTGCAACCTGACCTTCAGCCCCGGGATGGGAGCCTTTGCCAATCCCAAGGAAGAGCGTGTTGGAGACACATGTCGGGGGGCACAGGTTTACCTGGAATGGGTCAGTAGCCTCCAAGAGGCCCGTGCTGCCTCTGCCCCTGGCCTTTGCCTCCTCCCCTCTTCAAGCTTCTCCTCGCTGCCTTTCCTTCTCAGTGGGCTCCTTCAGCCCAACCTGGGGCCCCGGACGCCAGGGGCCCCATGGGAGGCCCTGAGGGAAGAGCTAGACTGAAGTTAGGGGGCTCAGAGAGGGCACCGGGGAAATCGTGGTCTCGAGGAGTCAGGCAGCCCCAGCAGGGCGCGCAGCCGCTCCCTGGAAGGCCTCGGAGAGCTGTGTCTGGGCTGAAATGGGCTAGCGCCCCTGGAGTGCACAGTGTGCGTGTGTGTGTGTGTGTGTGCGCGCGCGCGTGTGTTTGCGAGCGCATCTGCTGAGAACGAAGCAGGGCCCCAGAGGAAGAGAGTGGCCCAGGGGAACGGGGTCTCCTGCTCTTTCCACGGGGCAGAGAGCAAGCTTCACGAAGGGGCCCCAGACACCGTGCATGCAGGGACTGATGTTCCCAGGAAAGCTGAGACCCGTGACATCGCGGGCGCCATGGACCCAATGCCTCTTCCTCCTAACGGCCTCCTTGGTGGTCTTGCCTCAGAGCCACCCCTCCTTGACTGTTAGGACCAGAGTATGAAGAAGTAAGATATAAATATGTATACATATATAAATATATTTTTAATTACGTGTCGTGTCACGGTGGCTCCAGACGTATGGTTTGCCTAGTTTATCTCCATTGCTTGAAAGTGCTTCCTGGCCAATCCAAATAACAGTTTAAGCTGTTTTTCTAAATGCAGGTTGCTGCTACTCTTTGAGACATGGAAGGAAAACGTTTAAAAAAAAAAAGAAACTTTTTTTTTTAAGGAAATAAGAGTGAAACATAAAATCTGTGACTCTGAAGCAGCTTCCCGTGGGAGACTACTCAGACAGGAGCTGGGGGCAGAAGTGGGTTCCCCACAGACCCCCTAGCCTCTCCCTAGGCCAGACCCCACCCCCCCCTTGTGCTGAGTGAGGAAGGCCATATCCAAGTTGACCTCTGAATGTATTTGGTGGGAGGCAAAACTGGATATTGCATTTCTAAGGCTCGTGTTGTTTTCCCTACTCGCCCGCGGCTTTCTTGGCGCAGCGAAGAGGCGAAGTCCGGCCATCTGATGTTGATCCTGTCTCGGTCTGTCCCCCCTGCCAGTCAAGACCAGATAGCCATTGTTTTCCTCCGGGGCGGCCAGCCTGCTCACCACAGCCCTGCTCCCCTCGGCCTCGTGGCTTTGCCTCAGCGCTGGGACCGCAACCCCAAGAAGGCTCCTAATCTCCCCTGGATAAGGTGGGGGCCCCACCATCCTCCGTGGGGAATGCTTACCCCACACCCAGTCTCGTCTGTTCGTCCTTCCTTAATCAGTCTGTAAACCTTTAAGGTTTAGGGATCGCCCTGTCCATCCATGTAAATGTAAATGTTGGCCGAGTCGGTATTTATTCTAATTTTTATTTTATTTTATTTTCTCTGAGGGACGGGGAGGGGGGGTGTGGGAAATGTACCCCTGATCGCGCCCTGGGCAGCTGCAGGGGCGGGGACCCAGACAGCCGGGCCGCCGTGAGGAGCAGCCCCACGGGGCCGCCCCCAGACGCCACGTTCCAGTCCCTTATCTGGCATCAGAACCCGGCCAGTGCTCTCAGGGCCTGCCCGTGGAGTCCTGTCCCTCAGCTGCTGGCGCTCTGTTGGGACCTCTGCCTGGGCCTTTAAGGATGCAGATCAGAGAGAAGACAGCTCTCCTCTGCTCGGGACACTGGCGTAGAGGGCTGCCCACCTCGCCTGAGCCAGCTGGGAGCCTGGAAATAGGACCTACCTCCCTGGAGCAGGGGCCTGGGGCTTCCCGCCAAAGCTGCAGTAGAATCCTGCTCACGCGACCACTTTCCCTCCCTCAGTATGTCCTGCTTTCCAGCTGAACCCAAACTACAAGTGGGTTTAAAAAATAAACACCAAAAACCAAAAATGCCCTGAATCTGTGTTCTCTGTGTGTTCGGCAGAGGAAATCTTTCCCAAAGGCTTCTGTGGCCTCCACTGGTGCCGGCCGGGACCGCCAATGAGCCCCTGCCCGGGCGACGAGCTAATGAGAACATTTCCCACAGTTTGGCCATCTTGGAGAGCCGGGGCACGGTCTGGGGCCCGGGGAAGGCTGTGAAGGAGTGGTTCGGAGAATGTGGCTGGAGGGCACTTGTGCCCCCCCATCGCCCCCAGGCTGGGAACCGTGGCCTATCCAAAGTCATAGGATTAGGCCGGTCCTGCAGAAAATAGCTTTTGCACTAAGGGTTTGGTCTGCTGCACGTCCGGCCACCCCACGCCCCAAACCCACTCCTTCCTTAGAAATATCACTGGAGCATTTGACTTATTTCAGAAAGACTGACGCTTGGGCCCAGAAGCTTCTAAAAGTCAGCAGCAAGTGGCTGTCCAGTCCCAGTGGGTGAAACCAGTCTTTCCTCAAAGGGGCCCAGTGATTTATTTTCCTGTGACGATATGTCCCTTGTTTTGCACAATCCCTCTGATGGCAAGACACTGGGGACACTGCCTCCTGGTAACAGATCCCCCTCGGGGGTTCTCGCTGGCTAGAACTTGCCAGCCTTTCACCTCCTCAGGGCAGCGACAAGCGCATCCACCCCCTTCCTGTGTCCCTGGCCTGGTCAAGATGGTGGCCAGCCCAGAAGCCTGGTGACGGCTTGTTGAGATGGGTCACTATTACTGAGTCACATGACACTGTGCAGGGACGGCCAGAAGTGCACAGATCGGTGGGGGGAGATGACATTTTAATTAAACAATGGAGATATTCGTCAAACCAAAGTATTTACAAAAATGCAAACGTGTAGAAGCAGAAAACGGAGATCAAAGCGAAAGGTGTTTGAAGGTGGGAGAGAGAGTGGGGACATCTTACCAAACACTAGTCACAAAAAGAGCGGGCAGATTTTTCTGGCGTGACTTAATCCTGATTCCAGAAGCTTCTAAGTTATTGAAAACTGTGAAACCCATCATCTAAATAATAAATGTTTCAGTCTTGCATTTCACCACCATCTCTGCGGATACGTGCCGTGCGTCCTCCTGAGGGTGGGTTACATTTACACTGGGGTCTGTAGGAGTGGGGGGGGGAGAAGAAGACCATTTAGGATGAATAAGCTAGAACGTATGCACACACGCCCACATGCGCGACTGGGAAGGGCCTTTTACACGCCAAGGTAAAGGGCAGGAGAAGAAGAGATTGGGAGGGAAGAAGCCGCTATGCCTCAGTATTAACGGTCTGTCTTCCCCACAGCTCCCAGGGCCTTTGGGGCCTTCCATACACTGTTTCA